CCCTGCTTGGGCAGGGGGTTGGGCTGGGTGACCCACAGAGGGCCCTTCCAACCCCCACCGTTCTGTGTTTCTGTGACCACTGGCAGAACCTGCCGGCCCAGGGCTCGGTGGGCAGACAGAGAAGCTGCAGTGGTTCCAGACGGTCTCCGTGCCACGGGACGAACTGTCACTGAACGAAGCAGGCTGGTCAATGACGCCAGGAGGACTGATGCACACAGAGCTCCAGGTCCTTCCTTCAAACCGAAGGGTATCTAGGATACGTCTCCCAAAAGCAGGCAGACGGAGCTGCTGCTGCCAGTCCAGCAACAGAGAGGGACCGCAGCACCTGCACGACCGAGCAAGCGATGTGAGCAACCCCAGGTCTGCCCAAGGAACTCCAGCAGGACGGAGCCTCTAGAGCCAAATGAAGGAAGACTAATTAGAACATGGAACTAAACGGTAAACAGGGTAGAAAACTATGGGAGTGTACTGAAGGGAAATCAGATCAAACAGAGCTAATCAGCTTAGCCTGATAAGATAATGAATTTTCCAGACAAAGAAAGCGTGATAGATCCCATCCACGCAGACTTCAGCAAAGCATGTGATACAGTGCCATGTGAGAAATTATTAAATGAAAAAGATGGGGATTAGCAGAACTGTAAGGCCAGGAAACTGGTGAAAAGTGAAGCAGCGTTGAAAGAAGGATCCGAATGGATAGAGGTCACCGGCAGAGCTCCTCAAGGAACGGTCAGGAGGCTGATCTTATTAAGTATTTTTATTAATGACCTTGGCACAAAAAGTAAGAGCGCTAATGAAATTTGCTGATGACACAAAGTTGGAAAGCAGCACCAGCACGGCAGAAAGCTGGGACAGCATACAGGAAAAAAAATGGGTAACGCTGAAGACGAATGGAGGAAGGTTGAAATTCAGCGGGATGAAAGCGGAAGCCACGCACTTGGGACAAACCATCGCTTTTGCTACGAGTTGGAAAGAAAATGAACTCAGGTGGAAAACGTTCAAGAGTGAGAAAGGCCCAAGTAAAAAGCTCAAAACAAATCTGAGGCACCAACACGCTGTAATCAAAGTATTTCCAGCAGCCAGAGACGTGTTAGAGCCGGTGGGCAAGGCATCGTGAGAACACACCAGGGATGATGCCGGCGGTCCTCACTGTTAAAAAACCAAAAAGTTTAAGGAGGAAGAAGTGTAAAAAAGGGCTTATCAGAAAATTGAGAGATTAATTCAGGAGATTAAAATGTAAAGACGCTTGTTCAGCCCCACGAAACAAAAGCTGGGAAGGAACACTGAGTGATCCCTTGGGCACACGCAGCCGGGGAAGTAAAATAAAAAAGGGGAAAGAACTATTCAAGACACCAGAACAAGGGTTGCACGTGGGCAACATGAAGTATCCCTGACAAGTCTAGGCTGGAAATAAGTTTATGACCATTGCAGCCTTCCAATAGGAGTAATGGGGGGGAAAAAACAAGCTTGTTCTCAGAAATTTATCTTGAAGGGATCCCATGACCCAGAAGGCTCTTCCCGTCCTTGCCTGCTAAACACACACAGAGCTGACACCACCAGCAACGCCACGCTCCTCACCTGGAAAGAAATTCATCAAGCAGCTCCAAACCACCTTTGTTTTAAACAAAAACCTGTTTATGACTGCTTAGGTCCATCCTCTTTCATCAGCTGAATCCATTTCAACAACCCAGCATGAGCAGTTTTAAGCCAAATACATGAGTTGTGAATACAGTATGTGTGAGGAGGAGGAGGAGGAGGCACCGAGACGCCCCGAGCTGGCCAGAGGGTACGAAGGCACCAGGAGAGCGAGGACCAGGCTGCTGGGCACACGCCACCAGCAAAGGCATCGTCTCAGCACCACGACTGACCTTGTTTCAACATCTTTGCTTGGGGATGTTCCTCCTCACTGTCAGCCAGCCCGTGGGCTCCCCACCCGCTCCTCAGGGGTCAGAGCTAACGAAGCCAAGGAAAAGTGTTTCATATTATGGAGAAACAAGAGGGCAAGCCAATAAATGAACCACAAGTCTTAGATTAGCAACATGCTGAAATTACTGAACCAGTTTGTTTAAAATTTGTTCTATTAACATAATTAATGAAGCCACATTTCCTGCTATATCCCTAAGCTAACCTGCTTCGATGCTTCTCTGCTGTCTAACGAGACTTGAGCCTTCCCCTCCCCAACGGAGCCCTTAATTGGGTCTCCCTAATGAGGACAGATGCCCAAATAAGCTTGTAGTAACTCCTTATCTTTGTGACCTCTATCTCCAATTAATTCCAGCTCCAGCCAGCCAGCGGGCTCAGAAGTTGGTGGGCAAGGTGGGAGGAAGAGCACGGCCACACACACGCAGCGGGCTGCAAACCCCACGGTTCCTCCTGAAACCAGGCTCACCTCCAGCAGACTCTGCTTTCCCCAGGCACAGCGAACCTGCGCTCCCACGGTGAAGGAAAAGGAGCTCAGATGAGAACAACAGTGCAAGGGAGGATGACGCACAAGGTAGCAAGGCAAGCGGAAAGTTGAATTCTGCAGCAAGATCTGTTGGACTCCCGGTATGGCCCAGCAGGCTGGCTGGCAGCAAGCGAGGGCTGCAGGAGAAGGGAATGAGGAGACAGAGAAGCCCAGATGAAACTCCATCTTCTGCTCCACCACTGGCAGCTGCCCCTCGGCTGCCTCCCCGGGCTGGAAGCATCGGTGCACCTGAGACACCGGCAACCAGTGAAGACAGCAGCCACGAGCCCAATTTAACCAACAGACTCCACCTGCTTCTGACAAAAAGCTTCTTTTAATCACAGAATCACAGAATGTTTGGGGTTG